GAGAAATATTCGAGGAAACATATCCTTCATGAATAAACTAAACCCCTTGCCTTGGATAGCTCATTTCATTTGGTATTAAAGATCCAGCAGTGACATTTTATGGTATACTGAGTCATAGGGAAAAATGGAACCCTGAGATGTTCCTAGAAGGAAACTGTGTATTTTTGGTGCTGTTCACTTTCATTGAAGGAAAAAAAAAAAAAGAAACTGTGTATCTGAAGTCCTTCCAGACTAGGATTCGGAATATTGTTTGATCTAGACTGGAGTAGCCCATAGTTTAAGTGCACCAATGGTCATAAATACCATTGCCAGTAGGGACCTAATCAGTCTCTTGTTACCCTAGTGTGTCCCTTGGTAACACTAATGAATGAATCCTACAACTGTTATTTCTGACTATAGGCATTGTTTTTTACTGAGCAATGTTCAAAATATTTTCAAGTGATACAAATAAGTATAGATAACCTGGCTTTTATAGATTATCACTGTTAAAAAAGAGACAGATTTTATTCTACATAATCAGTATCTGTTCTCTAGATAGAAATAATAATAGAGCTAATAGTAATATTAATATATTAGCTTGGTGTTCCTGTTCTTTTGGTAACACTGAAAATTTTCTGATTCTTTTTTATAAAGGATATTTCTGAGCCATAATTTAATCTCCTGAATGAATCTACCTATTATATGGGACTATCTTGAGCAAAATCACTGCCACAGGTACTTGAACTAGTTATGTCTCCTATAATTAATATAATTATTAATTTATACAGTTTATAAGTCAAAATCTTATAAATGTGGTTAATACTGGTTTTCATTTAGCAACTATTTATTGAGCACCTACCATGTGGCAGGCTGGGCTGGGGGGGGATATGACAGTGGGAAAGGCAGACAAAATCCTTTAATTGCAGTTTGATGACAGCCATGGGCCTGATTAGCCCTGACTCAATTGAGACAATCCAATTCTTGAGCCTATTAAATAACAGAGTCAATAGTGGGTTGAACAGTCACTAAGTGAAGTCTTATCTGAAATAGCCAGGCAGTTCTGCCCTTCACTGTAACCCTTAGATCTGACAAAAGAGAAGGGAAGGAGAGAGAGAAGAAATACAGAGGAATGTCAGTTGAGGTACTGATGCCACTCAAAGCATGGGAAAAGTGGCTGGGGCTGAAGACAACTGCAGCACCAAGGCTTTTAAGGTGACAGTTATTACCCATTCCTCTCAAGTTCCCCCAAAGCCAAAATAATCCTGTGATACTGTGATACGAATATCTATTTGGTCTTCTATTCCTGGAACAAGAGGTTTTAAAACCTTTGGAGCCTCCAGAGTAATATGGTGTCTTTTGTATGCTAGTGAGATGGTTGGGCTGGGGCCTCTTAGACAGCTTCAGGATGTGGGCTGGCTGCCAGAAAGACCAAGCATGATTAGAGGGTTGACACTTTGAGCCCCATCAACCAGACTTCTGGTGAGGGGAGAGGGGCTGTAGATTGAGCTAATCACCAGTAGCCAATGATTTAATCAATGGTGCCTACATAATGGAGCCTCTGTAAGAAGTTTAAATGGAGGGCTTCACAGAGCTTCCAGGTTCATGAACACATCTATGTGCCAGGAGGTAGTGCACCCCAACTTCATAGGAACTGAAGCTCCTATGCTTGGGATCCTTCTAGAACTTGCCCTATATACTTCTTTATTTGGCTGTTCATTTGTACCTTTTACAATATCCTTTATAATAAAACAGTAATAGTAAGTAAAATGTTTCTCTGAATTCTATGAGATGTTATAGCAAATTATTGGACCCGAGGAAAGAGTTGTGAGAACCTCTGATTTACAGCCAAGTCAGACAGACTTGCAATTCTGAAGTGGGGGGCAGTCTTGTGGGACTGAGCCCTTAACCTGTGGAATCTGCGCTACCTCCAGGTATTGTCTGAATTAAATTAAACTGTAGGGCACCCAGCTGGTGTCTGTAGAGAATTGAATTGCTTGGTGTAAAAAACCCACACAGTTGGTGTTAGAAGTGTTCTATGGGTGAGAAGAGATCCCAGTAGTAGTTAATAGTAAATCCCTAAAGAGGAAAGAAGCAAGAAGGTGGATAATATGAAAAGTTCTCTATAGTGGATTTATGGAGCCAGTTTTGGGAAGCATATCTATAATAATAAATTGAATATCTAGTATAATGAATACATTTCAAAAGTATTTTACAATTATTTTATTACCCATTTAGGGTAATACATTTTGATAGGAAAGAAATTAAACTACTCCAACAAGAACTTGGAAGGAAGGGTTACATCATAGCTCTGTGTTAAATACTCTTACCTTTCTGTCTGCACTAGTAATGATATGGATTACACAGAAGTTCTAGTTCTAAAGCTTTTAGTTTTTTCAGCTGTATATGTTAAAAATGTTGAATTAGGCCAGGCACGGTGGCTCATGCCTATAATCCTAGCACTCCGGGAGGCTGAGGCGGGAGGATCGCTCAAGGTCAGGAGTTCGAAACCAGCCTGAGCAAGAATGAGACGCCATCTCTACTAAAAATAGAAAGAAATTAATTGGCCAACTAAAAATATATAGAAAAAATTAGCTGGGCATGGTGGGGCATGCCTGTAGTCCCAGCTACTTGGGAGGCTGAGGCAGTAGAATTGATTGCTTGAGCCTAGGAGTTTGAGGTTGCTGTGAGCTAGGCTGATGTCATGGCACTCTAGCCCGGGCAACAGAGTGAGACTCTGTCTCAAAAAAGAAAAATGTTGAATTACATAAAGTCATTCAGTCCAAATTTGAGCCTCAGAGCTGAGCCTAGGTGGGTCCAGTTTTAACCTGTGAAATGGATAGAAGTATATTTCTAGCTAAATCAACAGAGCAGCATTTTTAAACTTATACCATGATGGGAAAAGCCGATGAAAAAACAATTTGTACCAATTCATGCTATGAATAGTCCTATGAGACTGTGAGGACTAGGACATGAGTCAGGATCTGGGCCATGCAGAATTTCCAAGATAGGCACATGGTGGTTTGTTAGAGGCAGGCTTCAGCAGCCTAGTCGCTCATTTTGCCAGCTTCAAGGGGATGATGACCTCACATCAGGAAAGCTCACTGAAACTAACATGTTATTTAATCCTCTGTCTGCTCAAGGTTAGCTTAAAATTGACCTGGAAAATAATATCACAGTGGTGGCAATTACTATGTGTTGGATTACATGGTAATCCATAAAAATTTAAAAACTGAATTGTCTCCTAGAAGACCATTAAAATAAAATATCCATTAAAATAATTATGAATACCATTAAAATAAATATCCATGTCTGCCCTCTTTTGAAAGAAAGTTCTCAAGTTAGGTGTAGGTTGTTGCCAATTCATGCTTCACTTTGAGCCGGCACGTTCAGAGAGAGATCAAGAGATGCCATGCTAGCCTGGGCAGACTGTTGGCAGTAAGTTCCCAGCAAGTGGCTGTGGCTGTAAAGTGCATGTCTGGGGCACACAGGGATGAAGAGAGGGGGAACCCAGGTGGTCTGCAGCTGCAGCTGAGGTGATGCCTTAGATCAGGAGGAAGGGGAACCTGAATAACAAGGGGATGAGATGGCCAGCGAAACGAGTGGGAGAAGGGAGCAGGAGAGATAAATGGTCTCTTTCCTTTCTCGTCAACACAGTCCCATGCATTACCCTACTTGTAGGAGGCCTTACCAACATTTGCTTCTCTGTACTTCTGAACAAACTGGAGGTTTATACTTCCTGGGGCCCTTTAAATAAAGTGTGATCATGTGACTTGCTCTGGCCAATGAAATGGAGTGGAAGTGATTCATGTCACTTCCTGGAGGAAGCATTTAATTGCTGAGCTTGACTTTCCATCCTGTTCTTCTGCTTGGCTCATATATAATAAATGTATCTATTGATGTGGAAGTGTCATAGATGGAAGCAATAAACTGTGAATGAAGAAAAAAGCAAAACCAAACAAACTTCTGTTTCATGGAAGTCCTTGAGATTGCTGACTTGTCACCCTGTCTCGAGGCCATGCCTGTCTTCTTTGCCCCTTTTTCACAGTCTGTTCCCTCCCTACCACCCCTTCCTTACCTCTTTCTTTCCTTTCTTCTCCCCTTTGCTCTAGGATCCCACTGCTCTCCTAACTGGAAATAGTAAGTATAATGTTTTACATGCCTAGTCTTAATCTAAAACATGGGTAAATTTGTGTTTTAAAAAAGTGGGTAAAATTTTGTAATTAATTTTATATTTCTGTCTTGAAAAAAAAACCCACTGAGGTAAACTAAAACTCAACTTTAGCTTGTGTAAAAAAAATGTATACTTTGAAATCTTACTATGTTATACAAACATATGATTTTACTATTGTGGATAGGCCCACAATTGATTTTCTTGTGTGGGTCAGTGGCTATCAGAAAAAATAAAAACAAATATAAACCTTCCCCAAACATCATGCAATAGTCATACAGCTCAGAAAAACCTGAGTTCCTTCTGCAGTAGGCTCTGAACAGAAAGTCACTTAAAGGGTAGTCAGTCTCTCTGTTGTCATCAGTAATTGTGTTATGAAGGCCAGTGGAGCCAGAACACTCAGAGGCCTATTCAAGACTGCAGGGCATCTAAAGTTATCAAAACAACTACTCATTTTCATGCACATTCATTCATTCATGAGGTCACCCCCACCACCCCAAAAGCTGTTTCAAGCAATTAAAGTCCTTTAGACACAAAACAACAGAGAGTAGGAAAATGCAATGGTAGCCTAGCTAATCATGCATACTTAAACACAGCAGATGTGTACTTTAAAAAAAAATCCAACAAGCTCTGGTTTTAAGTAAGAACATGCTCTACTGTGTAAACATGACTTGAACTTTTAGGCCACTGTACAACACCATGGAGAGAACTACTGAGGGTTTTGCACATAACCAATTCTTAAGAGACAATGTTGTGCAGGTAGGAGACGAGAAAGTATGTAACATTTATAGGAAGAAAAGAAGAACATGCAGAAGAAGCACTAGCACAGAGGAAAATTCTGAAGTTCACTTACTGCCTGCTTTTGTTCTTCCTCCTACAGGTGTTGAGGATGAAAAAAAGGCAGAGGAAAAAAGGAGAGAAATTAATGCTCATCACCACAAACACTGGGAAGAAATGACAGAAGACCTGGGCAAACCAGGCCAGGCCCATAAGTTTGGAGGTCAAAGGCCCTGTCTACCACAGGAGCATCAGCAGGACAAAGAAAATGGCAAGCCTCAGCCCACTCAATTAATTCAATGCTAACTTCTTGAATTGGAAGGAAAGAACCTTACAAACCATCCAGTCCAACTTTCTTATTTATAGACAAAAGAGGCCTAGAGTGCCTGACCTGCTTAAGATCACATAACTATTTAGGGCAAACCAAAAGAGGAAGTTCAATCATGACTTAAAATTCTAATAAGCATTCTATTTTGTCATTCACAATATTCACATGTATTTAGGTACATTTGTCTAGGTGAGTGGTTCTCAAAGTGTGGAACACTGACCAGCACCATCAGCACCACCTGGGAACTTGCCAGAGGTACAAACTTTGTGCCTCACCCCAGACTTACCAAATGGAAGCTCTAGGGGTGGGACACAGCCATGTGACCAACCTTTCAGCTGATACTGATGCATACAAGTTTAAGAACCATTGCTCTAAAACTTTCCCAGCTAGCAATTTCCCCTGACCACAGTTTCTTTTTTTATTTAGTCCACTTCCCCAACTAAATGTGTTGGAACTGCACCCACCTCCACTTGCTTTCTGGCTGTTTTGTCATTGTTTTCCACCTCCCCCAATAAACAGGGAACTGCATCAGGACCCTAAAAGGCCTTTCAAGAAAGAATTCTTGACCAAAGTTTTTCATCAATTAAACACGGGTTTATTTAGTACTTCTTATGCATAAGGCATGGGAAACAAAAAGAAATGGTCTCTGTCTTTTAGAACCTTACAGTGATGGTACATAGAGCAGGCACTTGCTCATTATTAATATCAGTTGACCGCCTATATATTTTATATATATATATATAAATATATTCTATATATTTTTAGTTGGCCAATTAATTTCTTTCTATTTTTAGTAGAGACGGGATCTCGCTCTTGCTCAGGCTGGTTTCGAACTCCTGACTTCGACCAATCCTCCCGCCTTGGCCTCCCAGAGTGCTAGGATTACAGGCGTGAGCCACCGCGTCCCGCCTGAATGTTTTTTTAATAGCAGGAAAACATCTTTGGAATTTTATTTATTTATTTATTTATTTATTTTTTTGAGACAGAGTCTCGCTTTCTTGCCTAGGCTAGAGTGAGTGCCGTGGCGTCAGCCTAGCTCACAGCAACCTCAAACTCCTGGGCTTAAGCGATCCTCCTGCCTCAGCCTCCCGAGTAGCTGGGACTACAGGCACGAGCCACCATGCCCGGCTGATTTTTTCTATATATATTAGTTGGCCAATTAATTTCTTTCTATTTATAGTAGAGACGGGGTCTCGCTCTTGCTCAGGCTGGTTTTGAACTCCTGACCTTGAGCAATCCGCCCGCCTCGGCCTCCCAGAGTGCTAGGATTACAGGCGTGAGCCACCGCGCCCGGCCTGGAATTTTAATAGAAGTCAATTATTTCTATGTATGAATTTTTTGGAATGCATATGACACACAAATGAACGCATCACTAGCCATTGTAGAAAAAAGCATAAAGATGAGATAAACACTTTTGAGTTTCTCTCTCCCCTGTCCTTTGCTCCTTGGCCACTCTGTGCCTCAACATGGGTAACCATGGTCAGGGAGCCTCAGCTCTTTGGCCCAGTATATAAATCTAAAAGCTGGTTCTATTAAATGGTTCTATTTAAATTGGAAACACGTGTCTGGGAAGTCTTTGGAATGGTTAAGTGCTCCCTGCTCTCACAGTCTGCAGATCTGGGTGCAATGGCAAGAATGATCTCAGTAAACCAAAGGGATTACAAAAGGGAGAGGGTTATTCCTACAAGGGAGAGACATGGACCAGAAATTAAATGTGCACCAAGAAATCTCTTGAGGAGACTCCAACTCAGCATAGGAAGGTGCTATTCATAATCAAAGCCAGCTGCTGGATGCCTGACCAAAGCTAAACTCACAGGAATCCAGGCAGAGGGCCCTGTGCATTGGCTCAGGCAGCCTCAAGGAGTCAGAGCCCTTCTGCTTTTGTACCTGGCACAAACAGCTCAGTCAGAAGGGGTAAGAGTTTTACAGTTCGGAGGTGATCTACTCTTCCTAGCCAGACTATGGGGCAGGATGCTTCTCTTACATTCGCTAGGCAAGGCAAACAGCCCTAGCAGAGTTATAAAACAATTTAACAATGTGTTTTATTGCTGGTACTAAGTGTTGACATGGAAATTGAGATGGTTGGGGAGGGACAGGGCAATGCTAACAGGCTGAAATTGTATCTGAGGTCAAAAGACCAGTATGTAATTTCTTAGCACTGTTTCTCAGACATCTCCCTGTTTTCACTGTTTCCCCAGGTTTGGTATTAAGAGACACTACTTTGGTTCAATAGAGAAACTGCAGAAAGCAATGTTTCATGCTTGCACATTTGGTGACTGTGCAGACATGAAATCACTGCAATTTGTAGTAGACACACGTGTCAGATTAGGGTGGGGACAGTGGCCAGGGCAGTGCTTTCTGGACTTAGAGGCCTCCTGTGTGCACTGTATTGGGAGAGGGTGGACTTTAGCAAATGTGGCCTAGGATGGTGTTGTGTAATTTAAACTCACAAAAGTTATTCATATAAAGCCTTTAAGGCTCTGCCAACAGTAAACAGGTAAGATCTAAGGTCTTGGAACCTTTGTATTGTCAATTAGCTGCAGTCAGTAAACACTGACTGATGACAGGGATACAGCCAATTTGATTTAAAGGGGAGGTAATGATACCTTAATTATAAAGTGGAAATTTAGAACTGCTTATGTCACCTAAACACATGAGTCTCTTCTACACGGGAAATCTGGAGAGATGGCCAAAGCAATGGCCCAACCACTATAGTTATCTACATAAAAATTTATATGCAAACTAGGTGAACATTTGCAAATGAGACTGAAATTCAAAACAGCAGAATTGATCTGGTAATGCAGTATCAGGAAAACGGAAAATGAATTAGAAACATCAATATATGACCATTTCTAGATTAAATAAGAAGTTTGAGGGCAGATGTTATCTAGGTACACAATAATCAGGGGGGAAAGTATAAAGAAAAGACATACACAGAAACATGGATGCCTGAGTGTCAGCCACATTATGTCACCAAAAAAACAAAGAAGGTCCCTGATACTCCCTTGTGACAAGGACTGAGTCTAGTCACCATTATATGCCAAATACCTAACATGACACTTAGGAACTCAATGTATTTTTTGTTTAATAAATGATTAATTTTTTCCTTGCCTTGTTCCCCAAAAAAGGACTAAGATTTTTTTGAATGAATTAATAAACAATGTGCCAATTCTCATATAAAAAGATAAAATATGTAATATTTTACTGAAGTAGAATGAAAGAACGTCCTGTGAAATGGAAATTTAATGTGTGATATATTTTAATTTATGAGTATCCCAGACCATGTAGCTTGATTGTCCATTTGACTAATAGCTTATGGCTGTTTCATGAGAGAATTAAATACTAGTAGACTGAACATCAATGAAAGCAGGACAGTCCTTTGAAATTATTGTTAGGATTCTAAAGGGTACTTTTATGGGTTGATGATATATATATATATATTTTTTTTTTTTTTTTGAGACAGAGTCTCACTCTGTTGCTTGGGCTAGAGTGCCGTGGCATCAGCCTAGCTCACAGCAACCTCAAACTCCTGGGCTCAAACAATCCTTCTGCCTCAGCCTCCCGAGTAGCTGGGACTACAGGCATGGGCCACCATGCCTGGCTAATTTTTTCTATATATTTTTAGTTGGCCAATTAATTTCTTTCTATTTATAGTAGAGATGGGGTCTCGCTCTTGCTCAGGCTGGTTTCGAACTCCTGACCTCAAGCAATCCGCCCGCCTCGGCCTCCCAGAGTGCTGGGATTACAGGCGTGAGCCACCTCGCCCGGCCTGGAATTTTAATAGAAGTCAATTATTCCTATGTATGAATTTTTTGGAATGCATATGACACACAAATAAAGATGTTATAATTCTTTTAGGAAGCTGGACACTAAAGACATGAGATTTTCAAACGTGAATTTTATTCAGTGGATAAAAAGACAACATTCCTGGGATTATGTGTGTAAATCCTTCCTCCCAGTCTGAATGGCCTCAGTCTGTCAGATGTATAAAATGATAAGGCATTTAAGAACCTGGCAGAGAATCCTAAAAAATGGATGGCAGGGCTGGGCATGGTGGCTCACGCCTGTAATCCTAGCACTCTGGGAGGCTGAGGCAGGAGGATTGCTCAAGGTCAGGAGTTCAAAACTAGCCTGAGCAAGAGTGAGACCCCGTCTCTACTAAAAATAGAAAGAAATTAATTGGACAACTAAAAATATATAGAAAAAATTAGCTGGGCATGGTGGCGCATGCCTGCAGTCCCAGCTACTCAGGAGGCTGAGGCAGCAGGATTGCTTGAGCCCAGGAGTTTGAGGTTGCCGTGAGCTAGGCTGACGCCACGGCACTCACTCTAGCCTGGGCAACAAAGCAAGACTCTGTCTCAAAAAAAAAAAAAAAAAGAAAAAAAAAATGGATGGCAAGATGCTGTTTATTTTATTGAAATTATAACCATGAGATAACAGTTGTAAATAAAAAGAAACTCAGGGTTTGGGAGTACAGTTCCAGGCATTAGCTCATTCTTCTTAGCCCTTGAACACAAGCACCAGTAGTACATTACAAGGCCACAGTGGTATGCATGGGGCTCTGAGCGAGTGCTAAGGCAATCCAAAGTGCGCTGTATTACTTCGGGGAAATGCACTCTGACTTCCCTTCAATTTGTATAAACCTTTTGCCTTTTACAAAAACCACATTGGGGCACCTGTGGTTGGGTAATGTTTGAGAGCATCTTTCCAAAAGGGAGTTTTGAGCCAGAGAAGAGTGAGTGGATCCCCTATCATCTCTTATTTTGCAGGTATACTAACTCTCCACAATAGGAGGGCTTTTAAAGCCACACATGGCTCCCGATGTTACACAGGCCCACATATGTTTAAGTACATTTCTAATGTTTTGAGTGGGTAACCTGGTTGCTTAGCTGGATATCTGACAATTATTAGAGAGATGTGTGCCAGGTTTTTGCATAAGGTTTTTTTTTTAACCTTATTTCTTTAAACAAGACCCATTTAGACATAAAATACTTTTGAGGTGAAATCCTAACAAGGTTAATGTAGAAAGATGTCCATGCAAAACAACCCAAATACCCAAGACCAAAGCTAGGAAAAAAACTCAGCTCAAGATTTTAAAAAAGTTGGCTGGGTTCAGTGGCTCATATCTGTAATCCTAGCACTCCGGGAGGCCAAGATGGGAGGATTGCCTGAGGCCAGGAGTTCAAGACCAGCCTGAGCAAGAGTAAGATCGAGACAGTCTCTACTAAAAATAGAAAATTAGGATGTGGTGGCACATGCCTGTAGTCCCAGCTATTGGGGAGGCTGAGGCAGGAGGATCGTTTGAGCCCAGGAGTTTGAGGTTGTAGTGAGCTACGATGATGCCACTGCACTCTACCTAGGGCAACAGAGCAAGACTCTGTCTCAAAAAATAAAAAAAGATTAAAAAAAGTAATTGGCTTGAGCAAGTCAAAAGTTGGTTTAAAACACAAATACTGCATTTATCCAAGTTGCTAATACTCACTAGCTTCATTATTAAGGGATTGGTTTACTAAGTTGTTATTTTCTTGGGCTACCACTTCTAGTTAAGACCCTTGTCATCTTGGGCCTAGAAGATTACATTAGTCTCCTATTATCCTTTAGTTTTTCGCCTCTCTAATGTGTCCTGAATATTTTCCTAAACTGTTGTTTTCAAAACCTTCAATGGCTCCCTTTTATCACAGTATTAAACTCACCCCCTCAGCCTGGCTTTTGAGTCACTTCATACTTTGTGATTTTCATTTTGGCTGTTAACTCTGTGTCATACTACCAAATGCAGTGGGTTCTCAGTATCAATAGACGAGACATGAAAAAGTAACAGCATGAGCAAGTGCTCTGGTATTGCTGTTACATAACTAGGTAAATATTTCTTTTCAGTGCCAATAAAATTGTTCAGGTGAAGATATTCAAATGCCAAGCATGCCTTTTTCTGCTCTAAAGTGTAGGGGTTGTAATATACTTTTTAACAAAAATAGACATGAATTATTCTTGATTTATTCAGGTCTCCAATATATAAAACCTAGAGCTAATATGTTCTTTCATTCCTAATATAGTAAAGTTATTGATTAGAATTGGTTTGATTAGGTTGGTCTGTGTGATGGTTACTTTTATGTGTTGACTTGACTGGTTTAAGGGATAGCCAGATAGCTGGTATAAAATTATTTCTGGGTGTGTTTGTGATGGTATTTCTAAAAGAGAATGGCATCTGAACTAGCAGACTGAGCAAGGAAGATCTGCCCTTACCAGTGTGGGTGGGGATCATGCAATCCCTTGAGAACCTGGATAGAACAAAAAGGCGGAGGAAGGGTGAGTTTGCTCTTTTGTAAAGCTCTTACCTTCAGTAGCTTCATCAGCCCTTCCAGTTGCACCATCAGCTCCCGCCGGCTCTCCTGCAATGCTGACATCCTCTGCTCCAGTTCGTCCTTCCTTTGTCTGCACCCAGAGGAAAAGCCCATCAGAAATGAAACTTTGAAGATAAAGGGACTCTCAAAGAAGGGTCTAAGAGGCCAGGTGAAATGGGTTTTAGACCTGATTCTGCTACTTGGCAGTTTATGGGATACTGAGCAAGTCCATTTAACCTCTGACACCTCTTGTATGAAATGGTGTTATCTGTTTTGCCTGCCTTCCTGTACTATTGTGAGAATAGGTAAAAGTGCCTTGGAAAGTATACGTTTCACATAGGGAAAATGTATTATTTATAAAATTATATAAAACTAATCCAATTTAAATTAATAGTGGAGAAATTATATCAAACTGCTCAGGGGTAAAAAAAGGTTCAGTAGTCAGTATTTTCAGCACTAGACATCAGGTTGAAGAAGGGTGACAGATGGGGATGATTCCCTGTGTCTAAGAGAAGTCACTTTTCCCTGAGGACAGATTTCATATCATCTATTCTAGCTCAATATGTCCAAAACCAGACTTAAGACTTTTCTCCCCAAATGTTTCTCTTTCCCAATTTCCCTATCTCTGCTATTTTTTCTTCCAGGTGTCATCACTAAAAAATTCAGTCCTCACTGATACTTTCCTCTTTATATTCAATGAGTCACTCAATGCAGAAGATTGTTTCTTAGAAAATTTATATGCCTATCTTTCTATTCCCACGTTTCTCACTTTATCCAGGTGCTTCTTACCTCACACATGTAATGGTCTCCTAGCATGATTAATCCTGATTTCAGCTTTTATGGTGAGGAAAAGCAGTGGTTATAAATCAAGAGGCTTGAGGTTTAGTGCTGGCCCTCTCATCTACTAAATATGCAACCTTGGACAAGTCAGTTACCCTCAACTTTCTCTCCTCTAAAATGGGACTAATAACAAACAGCAGCAATATTTTGAGAACTAAATAAGATAATAGATGTGAGAGTGTTCTATGAAGTTTATTTAAAATGCTGCTCAAAGCTAAGTGGTGTCCATTTCACCATCCTGTGTGATAATCTCACCAGAATTTTTAGCATCACTAACCCTTATCCTGCACAATGTAGACATGTGCTATCCCACACAATAGCCACTAGCCACACGTGACTATGGAGCACCTGAAACGTGGCTGGTCTGAATTGTGATGTGCTGTAGGTGTTATATACACACTGGAATCCAAAGACTTAGTGTGGAAAAAAGAAGGCAAGATATTTTAATCATTTTCTGATACTGATTCCATGTTGAAATGATAATATTTTGGAAATATCAGATGAACTAAAATATAGTATTAAAATTAATAACACCTATTTATTTTTAGTTTTTCAATGTGGCTGTTAGAAAATCGTTAATGACATATGTGGCTACATTATATTTCTATCAGAGAGCACTGCCTTAGAGTCCACCCACATTTCTATCCCTAGCGCCTCACCTCCTATTCCCATCCGTGCTGGGACCTCCAGCTGATGGTTCACTTTTCCCTAAAAGGCCCCATCATTTTGACTCACAGGTATTCCCAAATCTTCCAAATCTTATTCATTCCTTAATGTCTGTCCCAAACATAACTCTTTCCAGGAAGCTTCCCCTGATTACTTAAGTAGAGCCAGCTTAATTAATTCCTATAGCAATATAGTGCTTCTCTGTGGCACTTAATTTACTTTATCTTGTATAGCGGTCATTCCTACCATGATGCAAAATCCTTGAGGTCAAGGGATGAGCTTTACTCATCTTTGCATGTATTCAAAGATTAAGAAAATATCCAGTATGTGCTCATTAACATCTATTGAACTTAACAAAATCATGATTTGAAACCCTCCAAGAATTTCCAATTAAAAGGATTTGTTTTGTAAAGTTTGGGTTTAGTCAAAAGGCTGCATTCAAGGATCCAGAAGGCCACATGTGGCCCCAAGGCCGCAGGTTCCCCACCCCATTATATCTTTCCCTACACAGAATTTTCTTATCGACATTGTATAATATTATGTAACTGATTACCAAATTATTTTATGTTTAATTTCCAAAATTAGATTGTAAGTTTTTAGGGTAGACTCACTGTGATCTAGTCTTCATACTCTCTAACTTTCCAGTGCAGATATACTTGATAAGAAGGATCTGACTTAATTTTCTTTTCTTAGACAGGGTCTCACTCTGTCATCCATGCTGGAGTGTAGTGGTTTGATCATAGTTCACTGTAACCTTGAAGTCCTGGGCTCAGGGGACCCTCCTGGCTCAGCTTCCCAATCAGTTAGGATATGTGCCACCATGCCTGGTTAATTTTAAAATTTTTGTAGAGATGGCATTGCACTATGTTGCCCAGGCTGATCTTGAAATCCTGGCCTCAAGTAATCCTCCCTGGCCTCCCAAGGCGCTGGGATCACAGGTGTGAGCCACCATATCCAGCCTAGACTCATTCGATTTTCTAGGATGGCTTCGTTCCTTGAACTCCTAAGCCTGGATGCAAGATTCTTTATCTGTGCTGTGTGTGATCAGACAATTACATTGCAAGGTGAAAATGAATGAACTACAGCTACATGCAACAATGTGGAAGAATCCTAGATAGTAATATTGAGGGGGAAAAGTCCCAGAACACTGTATATAACTATTCAGCTCAAAAAACAAGAAGCAAAACTAAACATTTTATTATATGGGATTACAATGTGATAATACTGTTTAAAAAACAAGGGAATGATAAACCAAATTCTGGAGAGAGGTTTACTCTGTGAGGTAGGTGGAGGCAGGAAATGGGGTAAGGTAGGGCACTTAGATGACATGGTTTTAGCAATATACGAATTCTCAATAGGATATGGGTTTATAGGGATTCATTTTATCATTATGATTCACTTCGTTATACATTTATCACACATATTTTTGTAACAAACATACCACTAAAAATAATAAAGGGAAAAAGACAACCCTAGTGGTCAAGAGCCATAATCATTAATCCTATGGATGAAATTCTCTATCTTGTGTTATTGTACTAGCTGTGTATTGGCAGTTTTTGACTCATATACATATATATATTTAATTTTTTATTTTTAATTATTATGGGTACATAATAGTTGTATTACTTTATAGAGTATAGGTGATTTTTTTTTTTTTTTGAGACAGAATCTCACTCTGTTGCCCGGGCCAAAGTGCCGTGGCATCAGCCTAGCTCACAGCAACCTCAAACTCCTGGGCTCAAGCAATCCTTCTGCCTCAGCCTCCTGAGTAGCTGGGACTATAGGCATGCGCCACCATGCCTGGCTAATTTTTTCTATATATATTAGTTGCCCAATTAATTTCTTTCTATTTATAGTAGAGACAGGGTCTTGCTCTTGCTCAGGTTGATTTCGAACTCCTGACCTTGAGCTATCCGCTCGCCTCGGCCTCCCAGAGTGCTAGGATTACAGGCGTGAGCCACTGCGCCCGGCCTCGTGATTAGTAATGCTGAGTAATTATTTTCTATTCCAAAATCCTAAAGAAATTCTTCTACATTTTCTTCTAGAAGTTTTAAAGTTTTGTATTCATGTTTAATCTATCTGCTGTTTATACACATAGTGACGTAGAAAGCCAGTATGTTTGTCTACATGCATAAACAATTATTACAGCACACTTAATAAATAGTTCCGCTTCTTCTGTGATCTAGAAGCTGCTTTTGAGATTAAATATTTTTATTTCTCAAACTGTAAACCCTTCTTAGATCTTAGGTCTTAAATTCCTGCTTCTTGATGCCTTGTGTGATATTCCTGGACTCCACTCTGTGCCTACGAAATTTATTAATATATTTTTTAGATCCTTCCAGCTTAACTGAGCACTTTTAGCAATCTCAGTTCCAGCAAGAGACTAACAGACTAAGAATGATGGAGTTTTTTTGTTTTTTTGCTTTTCTAGATATAAAAATAGTCACTTGTGCCTGAGCTGAGGTGGGGACAGACAATAGGTATATCTTATGCTGATACTCTGAAGGCTTACAATCTGCCCAAGTTAGCAGCATTCATTTTCCCATCCTTCCTAGCATGATATGAAATGTACTAATATCACAAATGTGCAGCCATGAATCACAGAGCAACCAAAATTTTATCCTAGCTACATTTAGAAACTAAATAAATTTTTAGGAGACTGAAATTTTTAAACCACTAACGATTTTCATCTGCACAGTTTAAATTACTTATTAATGATATAAATCTGAACAGTAGGACACCTATGAAAAAACAATAATCTCCATTGTCTAGGAAAAGAAATCATGGTTGAGAAACTAAATTAAGCTAATGGAAGAGCTAAAAAAAAAATCATATTCAGCTATACATTAAAAATCAACCTGAAAAGAAAAATCCTACTATTTGGACATCTAGAGATCTGGTGAGAATCAAGTCACTAAACTCAGTTTCCATAATGTTTTTACTTATAGAAGAATACACACACATTTTTCTAAGATTGACAGGACATAAGACCCTAATAACAGGTCAGATCACACTCACGTTATGTTCTGGGAAGATATCCCCACTCCCTCCAAAACAAAAGCAAACTGGGAGCTGAAGTTGCTCACTCCTCCCATTTTGATCCTATGCCCTTAGTTTCTTGATCCTTGAGACAGTTTATATTTATGTACAAGTGGGAAGCTACCATAGCCACTGTGAAAGAGATTCCCATTTGGTTTCATGTCTCGGAGGATGTGCATAGGAAGCATCCTTCTCCTTCAGTGGCATCCTGCTCCGACTATGAAGTGCCAGGAGGATATACTCATAGGAAAGGGAAAGCATTATTTCTGCCAAGAGTCTCTAAAGTCAGATTAATTAGTAAGATAAGAAGAGGGACTGCAGTACAATGGTCTTCTTAAAGCAATCACATAAGTATAAACACTGCTCTACTTGTCCTGGAGCTGACACTGGTATTTACCTAGTTCTGTGAGGATGACTGACTTTCTCAGAGTGATTACTAATGGAACCCAAACATGTGAAGCAACAACAGAATGGGTGGCACTCTTAGCCACTTTTGTTCTAACAAGACTAGGTATACTGATAAATAGATTCTACCCCACTTTTTTGTTTTCCTGAGATAGAAGCTCCCGCTGTCATAGATTACAGTTTGGGGACAGTGGTGCACTATCCCTACTTACCTCAGCAGCCGCAGCTCTGCCAGCAGCGTGGGGTTCTGCTGGGCCTTCTCAGGAGTGGGTTGGGAGGCCTGCTCGTGTTCCAGGCGGAGGCGCTGAATCTCCTGCAGGATCTCTCTAGAGGAGGGATGAGTGAAAGATGGCTGCACAGGGCTTCAGAGCTCCCTCTCTGTCCCTGTTAGAGGTTTTTCCTCTAGCAGTGCCTCCTCTATCAATTTAGTTCTGATTTCTTCCAGATGACCAAGATATGAAATGGACCCCTTCTCAATATTGCTTTACCTGACATTCCCTGAATGAAATAATCTTTGTGGTAGAAAAGGTCATAGAAATGTTCAAGAACTTGAAAAATCTCCATAAAAGGAAAATGACAACCAGAATGCTTGATTTACTATTTTTCTCCAGGGGAAGAAAAAGAGAACTTGAATCTCCTAATGCAGGCCCTGCACTGACTTCCCCCATTCCCTGCCTTCCCTGGCCCCAACCTCCTGACTTACTTTAAGTTGGGTCCCTTATCCTGTTTCTAAATGGCTTTCCCCTCTCCATATTTCTAAATGGCTTTGTTATGAGGGACCAGTCACACGTAGCATAATGGGTCAGGACAAGATGGCTAGATAGAGCAAAGTTCTGCCAGGAAGGACGGTGGAGAAAGTAGTTGCAACAGGGAGACATACTGGTGGGAGGAAGCCTGGGGCAAAGAATCTACCTCAAGGCATGTGAGCAGCATTTGGACTACCAGAATCAACAGCATGCAGATATATACAAATTAGCATCCAGGGCATTTAGTGTACTTGGGCTAGCCTATATTTATGGAGGCAGGATCTTCCTTTGTAGTCAAAATCCATCTAGTTGGCAAGGAAGAGAATCAGATACTCACATGATAATCCTGTACATTAATAACAAGTTTGGCCCTTGCTTCTTACCTGTTTTTGTTTTCCAGTTCTGCAATAAGCTGTCTTTGTTGTTTGTTGGCATCAAAGTTAAAGCTCAAGTCAGTGGGAGGACGAGCCTAAAGTGGGAAGAAAGTAGTTTTTTTCCTAATTCAAATATATATCCAGAGTCCTAGATTGATTTTTTAAAAACAGATTTTGAGGTATGATTTACATACCATAAATCCACCCATTTTAAGTGTATAATTCAACAAGTCTTAGTAAATTTAAACAGTTGTGCAACCAATCACCACAGTCCAATTTTAGAACATTTTTCCATTACCACAAAAAATTCCCTCGTGCTGGTTTGTCGTCTACTGCCACTCCTACCCCCAACCTCAGGCAGCCACTGATTTGCTTTCTGTCTATAGTTTTGCCTTTTCTGGAAACTTCATATAAATGGAATCATACAGCATGTAGTCTTTGGTTTGTAGTTTCTAGTTAGGAGATTGCTTGAGGCCAGGAGTTCAAGACCAGCATAAGGTTTTTGAGGTTAACCCATGTTGCTCCATGAACCCGTAGTTCCTTCCTTTTTATTGCTGAGTAGTATTTCATGGTTTCCAGCTTTTGGTTATTATAAATGAAGTTTCTCTGAACTTTCATTTATAAATATTTGTGTCCATACATGTTTTCATTTCTCTTGGGTAAATACCTAGGAGTGGAATTGCTGAGTTATATGGTAAGTCTACATTTAACATTTGAGATACTGTCAAACTGTTTTCCAAAGTGGCTATACTATTTTACAATCATGCTAATGAATGAGGGTTCCAATTTATCTACATCTTCACCAATACCTGTTATTGTATTTTTGGTTTTAACCATCCTAGTGGGTATGAAGTTCCTAATAGTGAACTTCACAAAATTGAGATATAATTTATATATCATAAAATCCACCCTTTTAAAGTGTACCATTCAGTGTTTTTTGTGTATTTATGAGGTTGTGAAATCATTACCATCATCTAATTCCCAAATATATTCATCACCCCAAAAAGAAACTCTATGTCCATTAGTAGTCACTCTCCCACCCCAACATCTACTATTCTACTTTCTTTCTCTGTGGATTTGCCTATTCTGGGTATTTGGCACAAATGGAATCATATATGACCTTTTTTGTTTGGCTTCTTTCATCTAGCAAAATGTTTTTAAGGTTCATCCATGTAGCAAGTAATAGTACTTCATTATTTTTCTTGCCTGAATAATATTCCATTATGTAGATATACCACATTTTATTTATCCATTCAACAGTTGATGAATATTTCAGTTGTCTCCACTTTTTGGCTATTCTGAATAATGCTGCTATGAAGATTTATGTTGAGATGTTTTTATTTCTCTTGGGTATATACATAGGAATGAAAGTGCTATGTCATATGATAAATGCCTTTTGAGAAACTGCCGAACTGTTTTGCAAAGTGGCTATATCATTTTACATTCCCAACAGCAATTCATGAAGGTTTCACTTTTTCCACATCCTTGCCAACACTTGTATTGTCTTTTTGATCATAGTCATCCTAGTGGGTGTGAAGTAGTATCTCAGTGTGGATTCAATTTGTATTTCCCTAATGATTAGTATGTTGGGCATACTTTCATGTGCTTACTGGCCATTTGTATATCTTTTTTGGAGAAATTATGTGGTTGTGATTCACATATCCACTGATGTACCTGACCTTCATTAACTCCTTTAAGAATATGGTAGCCAGGGGAAGCAGGGCCGGCTGCCTGCCGAGGACGCCTCCTCCAGGCCCCCTGGGCACGGGGCGGCGGACGGCGTGGCGCCTCCTCGTGCTCGTCTCGCTGGGTCTTGAGCCCCGAAGCAGAGCAGCGGAGACGCAGCTGTGGGCGCGTCTGGATCTGCCGGCCAGCCGGAGGCCATCCTGAGCCCGAGGCCGCAGAGCACTACAGGCCGCCGTCCCGGAGCAAGTCAGTCAGGACGCTGGACGCCACGCTGAGCACGGCCCGGCGGCTCCGGCCTGGAGAGGCGGGCTGCCCTCAGCGCGGAAGCCGCGCGCCCACGTAAGAGACCCGGCCGCCTCGGCCGCTCTCGGAGTAGGTGCGGCTGGCTAGATTCGGTGCTGAGCCTAATGCAGGAGAAAGGGGCGGAAGGAAGGTCTTCTGGAATTGCAGCCAATGTTTTGACTCTTTTGAGTCAGCGAGTGGAGCAAAAGATCAGTAAGGCCCAAGCAGAAGAAACTGAAGAAAGACACATGCAAAGTAACGAATTGAAGGAAGCAACTGACGCCAAAGGGCAACAGTATGGCAAGAAGGAGCCACTGGATCCTGAACTTGAGTGGAAACGGAGGTAGATTCAACTACAAATATACCATTACTGTACTTACTAGAATTGTTTCTTTGTATCTGTGGGGAATTGGTTCCAGGACTTCCTCGGACTGTCAAAGGATGCTCAAGTCCCTTATATGAAATGGCATATTCTCCCGTATACTTTAAATCCTTTCTAGATTGCTTACGATACCCAAAACAATGTAAATAGTTGTTATACTGTATTGTTTGGAGAATAATGACAAGAAAAAACAACCTGTACATGTTCAGTATAGATGCAACCGTGGTAAGCCTAACTACATTTATGATTTGCGGTTGGTTGAATCCCAGGAATTGAAACCCCAGATATGGCGAGCCTGCTGTACAACCTTAGCTGTCCAGTGGGAGAAAGCAATTATAGTTTGGGAGTAGAGGTCTCCATGGCAGTGTATTGGCTACAGCAGGACCTTATGCTAGCTCCTATGGTAGCCTAGCGTCACCAATATCCACTCTCTTTTATTTTGGTAAACTCCCCCTGTTCTCAGACATATCCCTGCCCCAGCCACCTACAAGGAGTGTGTGGTTCCAATCTAAGCAAATTAGCACAATTCCAACCTAAACAAATAAGCATAATCCCATACCCTGCCACAATTATTGGTTGACAATGGTCATGACACAGTCTGGGCCAATGAGAGGAGCAATATCCTGGGGTCTTTCGGGAAAGTTTTTCTTTCATTTTTTGAGAGCTTCAGAGACAACCTCTTCTTTCTTATGTGCTCAAAAGAACAGAGGGCCCCTGGACAGTGGGTAGTCATCTTCGAAACACAAGGTCTGGCCAGGTTGGAATAAAGCAGACACCAAGAAAGTATATACAGAGAGAGATCTGATCTTTGTGAGTCTCTAAATCAAACAGCTTCTGAACCCAGGTCTACATTCCTTGATTAAACCTTGATTTGGATTTTCTGTTGTTTGTAATCCAGTGTGTTCTAAGCAATACAGGCCCAATGACTATGTTTTTATAGCGAAGACCTGGACATCAGGAAGTCTGATTAGATAACTTTTAAGGCCCCATTCTTAGTTCATTTTCTGCTGTTATAACAGAATACCATAGACTGGGCAGTTTGTAAAGAATGGAAGTTTATTTAGCTCACAGTGCTGGAGGCTATGAAGTCTAACATCTCAACAGCCTTCTTGCTGCATTATCCCATGTGGAAGGGCAAGTGAGAAAGAGATGCATGCAAGACAGAGAGAGATGGGACCCAACACATCCTTATATCAGGAGCCCACTCCTGAAATAATGGCATTTATCCATCCATGAGGGCTCTGCTCACTCAAGCTCCACCCTCATGGCCTAATCACCTCTTAAAGGCCCCACCTCTCAACACTTACATTGAGGATTAAGTTTTTAACACATGAACTTTTGGGGGACACATTCAAATTATAGTACTGTGGTAAGATTTTTATGGCTCAGTGGTAAAACTGGAGGGAAATCTTGGGGAAGGAGAAGGCATGGGATTCTACTGGAGAGATTTATGGTATTCCCAGGAGGAAAAGAGGGCCACTTTCTTCTCAGCCTTCTCATACAACTAATTAAGAGGAAGAACTAGCTGTCCAAACCCTCAGTCATGGGATTCCCTGATTCCTCAGGGCCCATATAGTTTTACTTTATAATTTGCCTTCCTCGTTAGATTGTGAATTCCTTGAGGGTTGGGGACTGACATGCATCTTTCAGTACCATGTACCTATAACAGTGCCAAGAGTATAGTAAACTCAAAAAGGGGGAGTTGGAATTAAGTCTATCAATCATTTGCCATTATAAGATAGAATTATAAGATGTAATGTAATGTTTGTATATGTCATTTTTAATTAGAGAATATTATTCCCATAAGTGAATTTCCTATAATTCCCCTGACTTATATGGAAAACAAAAGAAATATAAAAAGTGGAGTTTTGTACCACTTTCTGGGCCTTTGCTGACCTGGCTAGATAGAGCCAGAAGCCTTTATTGGAAATCTCAGAGGGACACAACTGAGTAAAACAAATTCAGTGTTAATTAATAGTACTGTCTCTGTAGGATAATATCAATATAAATCAGTGTTGAAAAATATTTAGTGAACATTTTTCACATGCAAGGCGTGGTGTTAAAGGAGTTTGGAACAGAAAGTCTAGAACTCACCCTTCCCTCAAGAAGGTTATAATCTAATAGATTTTAGTTCACCATTCGTAGTGGTAGCCTGCTGCTGGGCAGACACAGGAATTTTGTCATCATGTTTTAGTCCCTACTTTCTAAGAGTCTTCCACTTTATACTCAAACACATACACACATACACACACAGAGTGAGTGTGTGTGTGTGTGTGTGTGTGTGTGTGTGTGTGTGTATGGGAGACCTGAGTTGCCCAGAAAAATCTTTACTGTCAAAAGGAACAAGAGCTGAAGCAATGGGCCTTTTGCTTCCTTGGAAGACTGTCTTGACCTTGGCTCCTTTTTTAGAAGACAAGCATTCTAGAAAGCTCACAGAAGGAGAGAGAGAAGAGAGCTAATCAAGTCAAGTGACAACCAAGGATTATCAGACATCTGACATCTTCTATCTTGGAAGACAGAAACCAAAACAAATAACAGAAGGTGAACTGGTGAAAACAGACTAAGACTAAGCAAGGGAAAAAAAACTATATATATATATATATATATAAGTTGCAACCATGAAACAAAAGCAGGCAGAGTAATATAATTTAAAAGAAGAAAGAAGTTTTCAGAATACATAAAAGAGCCTTAGAATTGAAAACAAGAGAGTATAAATGGAAAACAAGAAAATAAAAAGGATTGGAA